GTTTTTAATTTTTTTCCGAATCCGATTTTTTTTACCTACATTTAAAAAAATTGCAAAATTAGCCGCAATGCACCGCGGCCCATGTGACCACCCCCTATATAAATCCGGACCTACTCACAAAAGCTGCTCGGACAAACGAGTTTTTTTTTTTCGAAATTCTCTTCGTAGCTAGTATTTCTGTTCTTCAAAATGGTATTTTTTAAAGCAGTTTTCCAATTGATAGTAGAGAAGAGTTGGGTCAACTACCGATATCAATAGCCTTACTAAATATTTTTTACGTAGAGACGGACCTGAGATAAAAAAAAATTGCCTAAAACGATTTGTTTGGAAATGAGTAAATTGGGGCCATTTTGCCCCCCCCCTCCATCCTATTTACTATATAGTGGCCGAGCAGAAAATCCTAGACTTTCCAGCAGTACTTACGTAGAAAGATGCTATTTTGCATCTAGCCATCCGATGACGTCTGAGATGAGATCTGAAACTAGGGGGCTATGCCCCCTGGCCGCTACGCGGCCCAACCTCCAGAGGACGCTTCGCGTTTTCTTAGGCCCGCGTCAATGAAAGAACGACCATAAAAGATAAAAAGATTTTCATACTCGACTCTCCTTTATTCGATCTCCTTCTGGCCGGGAGCAATTGGACCAATAAGAATCGAACGAAAACATCGGCATTTATTTCGAACTTCACGCCAAGACTGAAATGAAACGGAAAGGAGCGTTTCGTCGCTTTTGGATAGTCTGCAGCAAAGGTGCATACCTTCGATCATTTATCCTACTAATAGACCAAGATTCAACATTTCCCTCTTATTTCAATTTTCCGCTAAATTTGAAATTCTTGCCATTTCCCATTGGCGGGAATTTCAAATTTTGCCCTCCTTTCTAAGCTCTCTGGTCTCCTCTAATATAAAACAACTGGGTCCTATTTTCAAATTCTGATTACAGCAAGCTCATTTAGGGACTATCACTTGTCGATAACCGCAAAAATCATGGAAAACGGCCCAGTAGACCGCTCAAACGAACTATGACAAAAAATAAAAAATTACATTGTTAAAATGGGAGAATTCGCATTTTTACCACGTAATGTAAAAAAACACGGGTCATATTTTCAAAATCTGAATAAAGCGGGCTAATCTAGAAACAACTGCCTGTCGATAACCGCAAATATCACGAAAATTGGCGCGGTGGAATGCTGGAACTAACAATAAGCGCTACCAGATACGCAAATTTAGGAGGCCTCGGAGCTTATAGTATAGAAGATAGTACAGATGGTTGTAAAAAAAAATACACAGAAGTTTCGGAGAAAACAGACCCAGAGATCTGGAGTGCTGATAGAACGCAAAGAAAAAATTAACGCTGAAGCTGGATTAATACTTTGAACCGAAGATGGCATGACACGACTACGGCAAAAAAAAGTTCCAAATTGACGCAATCCTCAAAAAAAAGTCTGAAACTCGAAAAAGTATAACTCTCTAAAAAATTTCTTGGTGGTACCACTCAGCAGACTTTTTACCCTCACTCATCATCACTATGCAGCATGGTAAGGAAATTTCCAGGCTTCGCTGTTTTTCGCTTCATCATTTAAATTTTCAGAGGAGGGGGGGGGGGGGTGTTGTTGATGACATTTTCTAGAATACAAGGAAAACAGCCCTGTGACAATGTGTCAAATAAAATAATTGTGAGCCTATTGCAATAGCAAACGAAAACACTCGTCTTGCGACGTGTAAACTTTCCGCTTCATTTAAATCACAATTTCTCCATGCGTGTCTGTTTTTTTTTTTTTTTCCTCAAAAACCGCAAGCATAACAGACAGGAGGGTCGACGACAGTAGTGTGGTGTGCTTTGACAAGTTTCAATAAAACATACTGATCGTCAAGCTTCTCGATAAAAAATGTTTTGTTGAAACCTTTTCTGCCGTGCTACAGGAAGAACGCCGTATGAGCCTTCAGACGTTGCCAACTTTCCTTCGATAAAAACCGAATTTACCGCGAAAATTGTGAATTTTTTGTTCCAAAATTTTCAGTCAATATTGTGCGCAATTTAATCTAAAATATCTGAGAATTTTAAAGAAAAATATGCATAAATTTTGTCACAGGTACATGTTTTATCGAGGGAAATTTGGCAACTCTCGAATGTTCATTCGGCGTTCTTCCTTAGCATGGCAGTTTTGGCCTGTGCCTGGCTTCATCATGAAAAATGGTGAAAACCGCTGCAAAAACCGCAATCGATAGACAGGAGGGTCGATGACAGTGTGCTTTGAAAAGTTTCGAATAGAGCAATGTTTTTCGATGATCTTTGTTCTTTCAAAACGTACTGATCGTCAAGCTTATCTCGATGAAAAATGTTTCGTCGGGACCTTTTCGCCTCTGCGGGGCGATTATTGAAATGATATCGACTGTATGTCAGCGCTTTGTCGTGTCGCGCCATCGACTAAGCAATGGCTTAGTCGATGGCGCGACTCGACAAAGCGCTGACATACAGTCGATATCATTTCAATAATCGCCCCGCTGCCTGGCTTCATCATGAAAAGCTGTGAAAGCGGTTCAGGTGTTAGCACCACAGGTTAATACTAGAGTCCCTTTATACTGAGAGTCAAGAGAATGCGAATCCATTTCTGATTGGTTAACTGGATTTTAGGCCTTCACAGTGTCACAAACGGGAATTAAGATTACATTTTCACCAATTGCAAAGATTATAATCTGGAATGGACCGAGGAATTTCGGGTTCGACAAGGAACAAACGGAATGAGAGAAGGAACGGAGAAAGGAATTTAAGAATGAGCCGATCAAAGATTACGAAAAACGTTCAATTTGTGTAATCTTTATTCCCGTTTGTGACTCCATGAGGGGTGTTGTCTTGACTCTCAGTATAAAGGGACTCTAACACGAGCACGGTTCGCAGAACTTCGGGCGAGCTTGTTCCAGGAACTTATTATAACTCAGCTATAACTTGTTCCCGGAGCCGATATATAGGTTTTTGCCTACCTATAGTTATAAGTCCCCAAAGTTATAAAAAAATTATAAGAACAAAATGTTATTATTTTTCAAATTTACACACTTTATCAGTGTCTCTTTGTCAGAAACAGCACTTCTGAAGAATGAAAAAAATTGAATTCATATGAGTTGATCTTTTCTACTCTCATGAGTAGAATATCCTAGTGATATGAGTAGAATTTCCTCTCATATGAGTAGGATTTCTTCTCATATAAGAAGGAAGTTCTACTCATGCGAGTTGGCGAATTCTGAGTAGCCTACTCGTCATTTTTAGCAGGGCCCTGGTAAAAATTGGCGATAGGAGCTGCGTTTCAAAATACCATGGGGGCTCTTATAGCCGACTGAAGAAGGCGATAGAAAATCATATAACTGGCTGTAGAAAGTGGAAAAATCATACGGCCGGGCTATACACGAAGCGATAAAAAATTATACAGCCGGGCTATAGTTCCTACCGACGGGCTTTACACTTTATCGACTGGCTGTTGCTTTTTCGTCATCGGCTATAAAAGTCTATAAGAAATTGTGTAGAAATTCGTGTGCTTTGTAAATCCTTAAGTTTGTACGGAATCACCTTAATATTTACAAAACACACGTTATATTTTCCTTTACTTCATATTTTTTTTTCATCAATTAAAATGAGAATAATCCATACAGAGTGTGCAAACATTTCAAAGTCATGAGTTGAAAAACGCTGACCCCACGAGATTAAATATTAGAGCCTAGCACAAAGCGAAGCGGCGGCACACTGGCGCCTTCAAACCTAACAGGGATACTTCACGCATTGCGCAATGCGTGAAGTATCCCTGTTAGGTTTGAAGGCGCCAATGCGCGGCGCCGCAGCGTATCACGGCGCTTGAAGTAACTATTTCACACCAGAGGTATTGCACAGTATCATACGAAATTGGAGGCGCTGCAACATGTTAGGAATCATACATGTTAGGCAGGCATCCTTCAAAAGTACGGAGCTTTCCTCGCAAAATAAATCAAGATACTACGGCCCAAAAAGAGAGCGGTAGTCCAAAAACTCATTAAGTCCTAGCATCCGTAATTAGTAACGTCTAGCATACACTTTATCGCCAGGTTGTTGCTCAGTCGCCATCGGCTATAAAAGGCTCTAAGAAATTGTGTTGCCGGCTATGGAAGCTATTGGAAATCTTACAGCCGGCTGTAGGTCTATGGTATTTTAGAACACAGATTCTACTGCCAGTTTTTACCAAGGGGTAGCTCTCTGGGGGAGGGGGTGCATTCTTCTAGGGGAGGAGGAAACCTAAACTACTCCCCCGACAAAGTACTCCCGTGACCACCGAAATTCTTCGAAGGAAAAGATTCGATGGGCGCATGCTCTTTTTAATTTCAATGAAAAAAAATTCTCAGTGGAATTTGTGATGGACCACTAGACAAGGTACGAATTTCAGCATTCTGATACATGATTCTTGACCAACATTTCACGTAGAATAAGACGCGCATAACGAAAATCACCGAAATCAACTCCTAACTAAGATATTTAATGATTATTGATGCGTGAATTCAAACCACCCACTCATGAAAACTCAATGCTCTGCGTGATTCACATCGCGCGCTAAACGTTATCATGACAGTCTCTGCGATATAAAAATCTGACAACCTCAATCTTGACGCTTTGGTTCAGCTGTAGCAAATTGCTTATAGTTTGAACAACACATGATGGGAAATGAACATTACTCGATTGAGAAGCTTGTTGAAACCGTTGTAGTGCGCGATTTGACTCACGTAGAGCTTTGGGTTTCTTGTGAGCGGGCAGTTCAAATCCCTCGTAACCAATGTGACATAAAAACGTTAATATTTTCGTTTGGAGTTTGTATCATTAGTTTTCGTTGCGCAAATCGTGTTTTACGTGAAATTCTGGTTAAGAAACATGTATCAGAATAATGCTTGAATTCGTACCTTGTCTAGTGGTCCATTTTGCAGAGTTTTCTCAGAGCAGTAGAGCATTTTCAGGCTCATTCGGAGTTCCTCCCTTGTGATTTTTCAGTGTAATTCTTCAATGCTGGCAGCGAAGCGGAAAGAAGAGGCGGACGAAGCTTGCGAAGTTGAGTGCAAAGCCATTTCTGAAGTCTGTCACAAAGGCTTTGAAGCATATCCAACATACTACTCGGTCAAGAAACTCCACAGAGAGTGCTATGGCTTCACAAGTAACCACATTTTACAATTTTGATTTTTGTTTTCACTGATTTCTCCCCGAGCCTCCCTTTTAAAGCCGAGCTCTCATGCTAAAATGGGTCAGTTGCACTGGTCTTATAATTGTGTTTTGATGCTTGGTTCTTGTAGATCAGCGAAAAACAATGAGCTATGTCCAAACAGCGACTTTCTACGGTCAATTTTAACCGAAATATCGCGCTTTGAAAAATTCGGTTTATGACGTCATCCACCACGGTAGTGACACCCTTCACTGGAAAAAAAAACACATTGAATCTAGAGTCCAGACTCTTAAAAACATCGACAAGAAGTAATACTGTTGTTTCAATCAGAATCTAGCTTAAATCAAGAACCAAGCCTCCTAATTTAAGCGGATTTCGTTTTGATTCAAGCAAACATCCGATTGAATCAAGAGTATTTTTTCTTGTCAATGTTTTCAAGAGTCTGGACTCTAGATCCAATGTATTTTTTTCCAGTGTTGGTTTCTTCCACCTTGCTTTTATCCGCGTTTTACGTCGAGTAACCAGTGCAAAGTTGCAAAATCACTGACCGACGAAGCAAGGTGGAGGAAACCAAGAGTGTCATTATCGCGGTGAATGACGTCATAAACCGAATTTTTTTCGCTTCGGTTATTAATATTGACCGCGCACTGGTAAAAAAACACATTAGATCTAGATAGAGTCCAGACTCTTGAAAACATTGACAAGAAAATGGACTCTTGTTTCAATCAGATTTAAGCTTAAATCAAAAGGAAATCCGCTCAAATTAAGAGGCTTGGTTCTTGATTTAAGCTTAAATCTGATTGAATCAAGAGTCCATTTTCTTGTCAATGTTTTCATGAGTCTGGACTCTAGATCCAATGTGTGTTTTTTTTACCAGTGCGGAGAGTTGCTGTTTGGACAGAGCTTATTGTTTTTCTGTGTCGAGCGCAACCGACCCATTGTATCCAATAAAATCAATCTTTTGAGAAACCCAAGAAAGTCCAGATTCCAGTGCAAAAAAATGAGTTCGTTATTACTTTTTTGTGATTTTGAGGAGAAGGTTCAATTCGTGTTGAGATTTTTAAACTGCGATCATGTTTTACGCCACAAAGTATGCCCGCATCGCACAGACTCGTGTCGTGAATCTTTCACGCACAGAACTTAAATCGAGTTCCGTCAAGTTTTTCGCCTGACGTTAAAAGATCGTCCATTAAAAAATACGTTCAGACGGTCATCCGCTTCCGCGGCGCCGCGCCGCACAGTGGATCGAGTCAATAGGTGAGCTCGGACATAATTTGGAAACTTTAAAAGCTTATAATTCCTTTTACACAAAACTTTGAGGTTCTAAAAGTAGTTCCATCGGTTTTCTCGTGAAATTTTCTTTCCAGAGCACCCCTTAAAATTTAAAATATGACGAAAAAAACATCAAAATTTGCAGTTTTAGTCAAAAATTTCATGTCCGAACTCTCCAACTGACTCGATCCACTGTGCGCCGGCGCATATCGTGGTTTCATCCGATTTCGCCTCTCATCGGTCTTAAAACAAACCTAAAATGGGTTTTTATTCGTAAAAAATGTGATTTAAATTTGGACCGCGTTAAGCAGAAAGGAACCAAGCCACATCAGCTATTGCCAAATTTAACTGGGCAATTTAATGTATTACATGAAAACGGTGAAGCGGATTGAAAATTTCAGAGAATTTTCTGCATGTTACAAGTCAGATCCCCTAAAATTTTCAAAAAAATTCGCACAAACGTTCTCTTGTAGAAAATTAAATACCTCAGTGAAATGTGGCAACAACCGATGTGGCTTGGTTCCTTCCTGTTAAACGCGGTCCATTTATCATCGACGAGACAGTGAACAACAAGGACTATCATTGATACACACTTGAAGTAATTTTAAAACTTTTTCAAGGTGGTATTTACGAAGGAGAACCGGATGAAAAGATCAGATCAAAAATGGGCAGTATTTTGCGACGAGGAACTTCCATTCCTGGATCAAAACGCCTACGAGCATAGGGAAACGAATGGCACACATGTTGTTTCTATAAATGAGTCGGGAATTGTCGTTCTTTTATTTCAAAACTAATTCAAATTAAGTTCGGATATCTGCGCTATATTTCGCCTGATGATGATTGATGAGCAACTTTTTTTTTTTTTTTTTTTTTTTTTTTTTTTTTTTTTTTTTTTGATAATTGAATACATTGACATGTTAGTGAGAGATACATATTATATACATCTTATTCTAGGAAATGGAGAACTAATCTAATGCAGCCCCGGCACCGCCTGAAGGCATTACATCGGGGGTTTTTGGTGCTGAGTTGTTTCTGTTATTATCAACTGACTTATAGATTTTAGCCTTAGATTCTAATGATGAGCAACTTGTTGGACAAGAATCAAATAAAATTCACCCGATGATGACTGATGAAAGTCGGGGTGACCACTTCGCTTTACGAGTTTTTGTAAATTTGGTCAAGTTGTTGTATCAAATGCTAATTTTTTTGGTAATGAATCATTATAAATGTCGACTTTGAAAAGTGCCCTCTAGACTTAAGGGGATATAACAGTGCCGTGTCTCTAAAATACGTTTTCTTCGGTGGTGTGCATGGCGTGATTCGGGATGTGGCGATTGATCTGCTATTTATTATAGGGAATGCGATTTTTTGAAAAATCTATCAAATTGGGTCGATTTTTCGAGGTCGATTAAAAATTGGAATCGATTTCTCGAGCCAAAAGAGAATTATTAAAAAAAAATAAATAAATAAAAACCTCCGTTTGTGTGTCACACGAGATCAAGGTTCGGTGAAACCAGAGTTTCATTTCAAATTTAGTCATGTTTTTGGTGACGAGCTCGCGTTTTTGAAGTGTTTTCAAATCGATTTCGAAAAAAATCAATTTTTTTACCGAAAATCCAATCGATTTCCGGAAATCGATTCGTTAAAAAAATCGCCATCCCTACATTTAAACCCATAGAAAAAGGATCATTAAACAGCTCACCTCAACTTCAAATGGGGAAATATATCGTATTATAGGTACATCAAACCGATGAGATTGTATCGATATCGGTTGGTTCAACATGGAAGAATTGCCTCAAAAGTCAATTGACTAATCTGAGGGAACCATAGAGTACAGTGCAGTCGCAATCGCAATGTGGAGCGCCGATGAAGTCAATCCATGAACGGGCCATTCCGAGCCCCTTGTTCGCCGGAAAGTGGGAACCATCTGGGAACGCTTGGCATTTTTTAACACGGCGGCTTATGGGAGAATGGCGGGCTGCGAGTGGTTTTCGGGATTTATTCATTTACATCAATCATTATTTCCGCAAATTTTGGCAAATTGTGTTCACCGAAATCATAACAAATTAGAAAACGTATAACACTCCCGGTTTTTATGAAATAAATTTAATACCTGTCAGGGCCAGATTTACCTACTTGCCACCCATGGGCCGCCTGTATTTTGCCGAGCCCCTTCTCATTCGTTTTGAAACATCAATAAAAACCATCAAATGAACGTACCAGCGGGGGAGGGGTGCATAAGACGCGTTTACTCGTGTTGAACACATTTTTTGAGAAAGCCCTGTCAACACTACTAGCAAAAGTTCACGAAACTTTGCGCGAAAGTTAAGTTTCGTAAACCTATCTCTGTGTGGACAAGGCCTTCCATTCATAAGAAATGAATGAAAAAATTATGAAAGAACAAACATAAATGTGGATTAATAATTTTAACTTCTGCCGTCGCGCCGCGCCGCCGCCGCGCGCGCGCCTCGCAGACCGCACTGTGTTTGACGCAATGCGTGAAGTATTCACGCAGTCGCCTGTAGGCACTATGCGTTTCACGCTGATCGCATTGTGTTTGCCGCAATGCGTGAAGTATTCGTGCAGTTTTGTAGGCGCTAATATGTGTTACATGCCGATTGCCACGCCGAGGGCTTCCCCTTTTCATCTCAAGTCCTCGTCATCATCTCTCTCTAAGTCAGGCCGTTCCAGGCCAAATTGCGTGTTTGGTTTCTCTCTTAAATTGACTGATTAAAGGAGCTGTCTCTTGTATCACTAAAAGACGACACAATTAGAAATTACTATACTCTCAGGAAATGAGAGATTTTGTCGCCTTTCCTCGTTTGTAATTTTTTTTTCTAAATCCGATTTTTTTTATACCTACATTGAAAAAAATTGCAAAATTTGCCGCCCTCTATAGATTTGCCGCCATGAGCCGCGGCCCATGTGGCCACCCCCTTAATCCGGCCCTTATACCTGTATTTTCTGAGCGAAGACCGGAGCTGGGACCCCGCGCACATGGTATCGCCAGTTGCCGCACACTAGTCTCAGGAGTACTGGACAAAACAGCCTCATAAAATGACTTCATCGGCGCTCCAGAACAGTGCGACTCTATTGTACTCTATGGAGGGAACGCGTTTATTGAGATGGATTTTTGATTCATATGAGTATGAAATGGCGATGAAAAGTGGGATTGTCAGGAGTTTTCTCAATTTTAATTGGACCGCGTTAAACAGAAAGGAGCCAAGCCACATCAGCTATTGCAAAATTTAATTTGGCAATTCGATTTTTTACATGAAAACGGTTGTGCGGATTTTCGTGCAAATTTCAGCGAATGTTCTCCGTAGTACGAAGCAAATTCCTTAAAATTTTCAAAGTAATCCGCACAAACGTTCTCTTGTAAAAAATCAAATTTCTCGATTAAATTTGGCAATATCTGATGTGACTTGGTTCCTTTCTGCTGAACGCGGCCCCATTAATGAATGCTACGATATCTATATCGCTAATCGATCATTCACGCCTTGCCACTGATTTTCTTTGTATCCCAAGTAGCAAAATATAATTTTTTTTCTAGAAAAAAATATTAAGAACATTTCTAGAAAAAACGAAGATAATGAGAGTTATCCAGAAAATAGAAAGAAAAAACATTGCGAGTCAAAAGTCTGACCAAAGAAAATAGATCTATTTCATGGGTCCCCTTTCTATCAACTGCCCATTTGGCAAAAAGATAGAAAATTTATTGATAGTAGAATTATTTTCTAGCCAATTTCTTAATGTTTTCTTTTAAGAAAATGCAAGGAAAAAATTTATTTTCTTTCTATTTTCTTGTGTCTATTTTCTAGATCTACTTTATACCTATTTCCATTCAAGAAAATTATTCTATCTAGAAAAGTAGACATTTTCTTGATGAGCGCCCCCTAGAAAGTAGATGATAATGCTACTTGGGATGTTTCGATGATTCCGACACGTTTTTGTGATTTAGGTGGCGAGTGCAAGAAGTTCATCTACAAATCCAGTCCGTGGACGTATTGTGATTGTTACGGGAGAAACTTCCGCAACTCTGCGAGGTACTGCCGCACCCTGATCTTCGGCGTCCGGGTCGGCTCCAATGTGTACACCTACATCTCCAACGGGGTCAAACACTACTGGGCTTGGAACAAAGATTTCATCGCGCGCCAGAAGAAAGAGCGGGAACATTACGAAAGATGGTACCAGGAAAACAAGGGTCTTTTCGGGAATGAATGGGAGGCCCGGACAGCCTATAAGGAACAGGAGCGCGAAAAATTCCTCCGTCGAGAGCCCTCAATTCTGACCGGAGGACACGGAGCATCCTTTTTCAAATCCCCAAGCTCGAACGGTTCCGGATCATCTCGCAGTCTCAGAGTCGAATCTCCAAGTAGAAGTCCCAGGAAAGGTTCATCGTCAGGAAGTCGTAAGAAAGGTTCGCCATCAGGGAGACCTAAGAAGAATATTCCGCCGCCAGGAAGCCCTCCCAAGTAGCAGTGATTGCGATAAATACCCTAGTAGCAGAACAAATTTTTGTTTTTCTAAAAAAAGTATAAAAAAAAGTATCTAAATGATCGTTTTATATAAAAAACGTGTAACGCTTATATAAAAAAAAATCAAAGTTCAGACCTGACCGTAATATATGAAAAATGATAAAAGCTAGATAAGGTAATTTTTTTTATACACACATTTTTTATTTTTTTATATAACGCATGCATACGAAAGTGTTGAAAGTGAACATTTTTATGTAACGATTATGTAAAAAAATAGGTCATCATTTTCGTGAGCTTTTCGCGAAGTAGAAGAATTTTTAGTATGTTCGCGAAAAGCTCACGAAAATTTTAACATTTTTTTATATAATGGTTACATAAAAATGTTCACTTTTAACACTTTTTTATGCATGCATTATGTAAAAAAAATGAACTTCCGTACATAATATTTATCTTTTCCTTCTGTGGTACTGCTACTAGGGTAGAGCTTTTATCTGTATTGGTTATTGCGATTATATCGGTGGCAATATATCGATATATTATCGCATTGAAAATTGGATATATATGGCGATTAAATTGCTGCACATCGCAATTTTTGGTACGATAAAATCGAGATCAATTTTCGTCGATAAAATCGCGATCAATTTTCGTCAATTTTCGAGATTGAATCGCCATTCATCGCGATTTTGATTTCGAAAATATTGCGATAAATTAGACGTATTTCTGTCAAACGGAAGTAACGGAACCAAGCGCCATTGGGGGAGGAAGGTAGAGGGGGGCTTGGATTGGCGGCGGGACCGGGCGTCGGGCTCATTCCGTCCTACACTTTGCAATGCTTTTCCATGGCGCTTAGTTCCGTTTGACAGAACGAGATATCCGGCATTCTAAAGTCCTCAAAAGGAACTCAAATTGACGCTTAGTTCTGTTTGACAGAAATACGTCCAATTGTCGGGCGATGAAAGCGCGATTTTTTCGCGATAAGATCAAGGATACTCGCTCAGATGTTGATGATCCGGTATATTTTTAAAAATAATTCAAATAATGTATTTAAGAAATTTTAGAAAACAACTTAAGAAGTTTTAGTTTTGCGGTAAATCTGTTTTAAATATTAAGAGAATTTTTTAATGTTTAGGTTCGAAAGTAATATTGTATAAAAAGATTTTGTGAAAAACCCAGACACGAGCAGTTCTGGGTCACCTTGAGGCAGTTTCAGACACGAATTAAGCGGCCGTAAAAAAGGCTCACTACCAGGGAGCCCTACGAAATTGCAAGTGGATTAAGTTTTTCATTGTCTGTTAAAGATCTGGGCGTTTATATTACCCACTATAGCGCGAATACCGTATCAGCAAACCGAAAAACAAGTTTGTTTTAAAATCGTTTCATTTTGATCTTTAAGAAATAGGTAGATTGTTTTTTTTTTTTTTTTTTTTTTTTTTTTTTTTTTTTTTTTTTTTTTTTTTTTTTTTTTTNCCCCCCTCCGTCCCTACTGAACCAGTCCCAGGCAACCATTGTTTGAGACCATCAAACTCGGGTCGCCTGGCCGGGAATCGAACCCGGGACCTCCCGATCATAGAGCAAGCGCTACAACCACTACACCATAGGAGGCCGACCCCTAAAGGCCTTGTTAAGGTAAAATTATCAGTATGATATCGTGCATGAAATTATGTCTATACCCAAGTAGCACAGTTTGCAATACGTAGCAATGCAGATGTTGCATGTGTGAGGAATTTGCAATTTGACTATTGATACGTATGTGAAATTTTGCGAGAAACACGATGGTGCCACTGGTTTTCTCTGAAATTAACTCCCAAGCTCAAAAAAAGCTCTCTAGTTGAGGCCAAAATGGAGGGGATATCCCACGCTATCCTGAGAATCCACGTCTACATCAAGACAAACTCTCCATGCAAAGATCAAGGTACACTCTACTACAGGTATGGACAAATGGAATTTTAGAAAGTCGTCAAAACGCGTAGATTTGACAGCATCGAGAGTACGACTGCGAAGACCTGCGCGGCAAATGGACGGTACGACTTCATACGTCACTCGATCGCCGATTTTCTCAGCGCTACCACTTCGGCACCCCGTTTGTCCATACCTGTAGTAGAGTGTACCTTGTGCAAAGATAGGGAGCAAGTACATTAGCAGGGTTGCCGTTTTTTCAGTTTTAGAGTCCCCAAATAAAGTGGCAGCCCTGTCAATGTATTTGCTCCTTATCTTTGCATGGAGAGTTTGTCTTGATGTAGAGGTGGACTCTCAGGATACAGGGCTGGATTTCCTTATTTGCCGCCCAAGGGCCACCTGTATTTCGCCGCCCCCTTCTCACTCGTTTTGAAACATCAATAAAAACCATCAAGTGAACGTGCCGGAGAGGGAGAGGCGTATAAGACGCGCGTATACTCGTGTTAGTCACATTTTTTGCGAAAGCCCTGTCAACACTACTAGCAAAAGTTCACGGAACTTGGCGCTAAAGTTAAGTTCCGTAAGCCCATCTCTGTATGAACGAGGCCCTCCATTTATAAGAAATGAACCAAAACATTATGAAAGAACAAACATAAATGTGGTTTAATAATTTTAACTTCCGCCGCCGCGCCGCGCCGCGCTAACCGCACACTGTGTTTGGCGCAATGCGTGAAGTATTCCTACAGTCTTATTACATGCGCTAGGTATGCGTTTCGGGCCGACCGCTGCTGCACACACTGTGTTTGACGCAATGCGTGAAGTATTCATGCAGTCTTGTAGGCGCTATGCGTTTCGCGCTGCCCGCTGCAGCTGACCGCAGCGACCGCACTGTCTTTGGCGCAATGCGTGAAGTATTCATGCAGTCTTGTAGGCGCTACTATATGTTACATGCCGACCGCCGCGCCGAGGGTTTCTCCTTTTCATCTCACGTTCTCGTCATCATTGCTCTCTGCGCCGCGCCGTTCCAGGCCAAATCCCGTGTTCGGTTTCTCTCGTAGTCTTAACTCGACTAATTAAAGGTGCTGTCTATTGTATCACAGAAGGACGACAAAATTAGAGATATACTCTCAGGAAATGAGAGATTATGTCACCTTTTCTCGTTCGTAATTTTTTTTTCTGAATCCGATTCTTCTTTATAGCTACATTTAAAAAAATTGCAAAATTTGCCGCCATGGGCCGCGGCCCATGTGGCCACCCCTTTAATCCGGCCCTGTCAGGATAGTGTGAGATATTCCCTCCATTTTGGCCTCACTTTGAGGGCTTTTTTTGAGCTTGGGAGTTGATATCAGAGAATACCAGCGACGCCATCGTGTTTTCTCGCGAACTTTTATATAAGAATCAATGGTCAAATCGCAAATTCCTCACGCATGCAACATCTCCATTACATTGTAAAAATATTGCAATTCCACTGAGTGTTATGTATGTTGCCTAGCTCCTATTCGAAGGGGCCCCATTTATTGAAACTTATTGCAATAAAATTGAAGTAAGTTGCAATCTTCCATTGCATTCCATATTGCCTATCTTTTTGACACATGGAGCTCATTTTTTTATTGTTTTAAATCGGCATAAATCGACTAAATTATGTAAAAATATTGCGATTTAATGATAAAAAATTACAATTTTACTGAAATCAAATTGCAATTTAACTTCACTATTTTCGTTGCACTGTGCTACTTGGAAAGCAATTAGTACGGTATGAATATGCAAAGAACGTTCTCCGGGATAGATTTTTTTTTTTTTTTTTTTTTTTTTTTTTTTTTTTTTTTGCTATTCAAATAGCCCTCAAGGGCTAATCCCACGCTTTAAGTCCCATCCCCCCTCCGTCCCTACTGAACCAGTCCCAGGCAACCATTGTTTGATTGCCTCCAAACAAGTTGTGGATTGTGTTCCTCCTGGAAGAAGGCGACTCACAGAGGAACGAGTCAATAGGAGAGGTCGGACAAAATATGGACGCTTTAAAAGCTTAAAACTCCGTTATTATAACATTTTTATGTTCAATAAGTGGTTTCGTTGGTGTTCTCATAAAATTTTCTTTAAATAGCATCCCTTGAAATTTTAAATATGACAAAGTAAACATCAAAATTTGCGGCTATATAAGAAGTCAAAAATTTCATGTCCGACCCCTCTAATTTACTCGATCCACAGTGCGCCCTGGTAAAAATTGGCAGTAGAATCTGTGTTCTAAAATACCATAGATCTACGGCCGGCTGTAAGATTTCCAATAGCTTCTATAGCCGGCTAAACAATTTCCTATAGCCTTTTATAGCCGATGGCGATTAAGCAACTCACAGCCAGGCGATGAAGTGTATGCTAAACGTCAATAATTACGGATGCTAGGACTTAGTGAGTTTTTGGACCATTGCTCTCTTTTTGGGCCGTAGTATCTTGATTTATTTTGCGAGGGAAGCTCCGTACTTTCGATGGATGCCTGACATTCCTAATATATTAGAGCGCCTTCAGTTTCGTATGATGCTGTGCAATACCTCTGGTGTGAAATAGTTGCTTCAAGCGCCGTGGCACGCTGCGGTGCGGCAGGCGGGCAGCCAGTGCGTCGCCGCTCCGCTTTGTGTAAGGCTCTAATATTTAATCTGGCGGAGTCAGCGTCATTCAACTCATGATTTTGAAATATTTGCACATCCTGTATGGATTATTCTCGTTTTAATTGAGGAAAAAAATATGTATTAAAGGAAAATATAACGTGTGTTTCGTAAATATTAAGGTGGTTCCGTACCAAACTTAATGATTTCCAAAGCACACAAATTTCTACACAATTTCTTATAGCATTTTATAATCGATGGCGAAAAAGCAACAGCCAGGCGATAAAGTGTAAAGCTGCTGTATAATTCTTTATCGCTTCGTATAGCCCGGTCGTATGATTTTCTGCGCATTCTACAGCCAGCTACTTGATTTTCTGTAGCCTTCTTTAGCCGGCTATAAGAATTCCTATGGTATTTTGAAACGCAGCTCTTATCGCCAATTTTTACCAGGGCGACGGGCGCGTC